ACTCGTTAAACATAAAAAAACTCGGTAAATTTGAGGATTCTGGTAGTGAATGCGCGTGTGCCTGCGTCTTCAATGCTTCAAAGAGTCGACTGAAAATGAATATATGTATCAGAACTCTATATATACAATATGTCCAAAAACGCATTGTTGTTGTTGCTCTGAAGGAAAGCTTTCTTGAAATGTTAGATCAAAATTCAATGTACAAATCTTCAATGGGTAAACTGCAATGTTAATGGTTTGATCGATGTTCGATGGCGTCAGCTATACTTGCCAAACCCACATAATCTTTTTTGATTCACTCCTATTGAGCTTTTTCTATAAGGAATCCTTCGGTTGTTCCGGAACGAGGCCAGGACTCGTTCCGGCTATTCAATTACTATATAAATTAGCCTGTGGTTTCAGGTGGAAATCTTGCAGGGCACAATTCCGAGAGAAACGAACGGGCCCTAAAAGCAGGATCAATCTTGGTCTTTGGTCTAATCTTTTTCGATTCAAATATCATATCATATTAGGGAAAATAAATCTGTGGGTAACGTCCACAAAAAATCTTCAACGGGAAGAAAAGCGATGTTTAACAGACAAAGAAAAAGGAAATGATCCATTTCGTTGGGATGTTCTCTCTAGTCACATCACAAGAAAAAAAAACTTCGAATAGTCCTCCTCTATCCTTGAGTTGCCGTTGTCTCTTTGGTAGTATATATATAGTAAAATGGTTGGTTATTCAACCATTGAGAGGTCAAGCTAGCTTGCTAGAGTCACTAAACACTGATCAAAACACAAATTAAGACAGTTTTTGTCGACTATATACAGAATTTGCGTTGTATAGGATAAGAACAATAATCCATGCTGATGTGTGCTTGCAAAACTTGATTCAACGTATAGTACTAAATCTGTTCCAAATTATAATTCGTTTGACTTTTTTTACTCTAAGTTTGACCACTCGTCTTATTAAAAAATTTATACAAAATATCACTTTTTTTTGTTGTGGCTTGCTTTATTAACAAAAGCTCTTCAAGGATGACTTAAATTTGACTATGTTTGCATAATTTTTTTAAATAAGACGAGTGGTCAAACTTAGGGTAAAAAAAAGTCAAACAAATTATAAATTGGAACGGAGGGAGTACTAGGTTGCTTTACTGTTTTGCAATGGTGTGTCGTCATCCGTACTTACAAAAACCACATAATACCGTTTCAAAAAACCACATAATATTTTCTCTTTCTTAGTACTATCATAATAGTGGAAAAATGTCCATGGTCATAATTGACAAGATGCACTTATTTTCCTCATAATATGTAATAACTAATAAGAAAGCGATAGCCACGTGTGAAAACAAGCACTAGTAGAGAACAGATATTTCATCCGAGATCAAAATGAGCTCTAGTCCTGGTATTTTTTTGCGCCCGGGACTAAAGAGACCTTTAGTCCTGGTTGGTGTCTCCAACCGGGACTAAAGGTCCCTGCCCAACGACTACTGCGCTCGGCACAGTGGCAGGGGACCTTTAGTCCCGGTTGGAGACACCAACCGAAACTAAAAGTGGACCTTTACTCCCGGTTGGAGTCACCAACCGGGACTAAAGGTCCCCCGATGGGTTAGTTCAAAAGGGAAGCATCACATCCATTGTTAGATGTGTTGTGTAGGTGGGGTGGTAAGCTACGCGCGAGGCACTGCATAAGGTCTTGGGTTCGAATCTCACGGGACGTAGCGGTGGGAGGTATTATTTTTTTTAAAGCTGGAAGGACCTTTAGTCCCAGTTGATGTTATCCACCTGGACTAAAGGTCCCGGTTCCTGACCCGGGACTAAAGGGGACTAAAGGATCCTTTAGTCCCGGATGCTTCCTCCCGGGTAAAGAACCGGGACTAGAGGGAGTTCTCCACCGGAAGTAAAGCCCGTCCCAAAAGAGAAAAGATTCGTCTCGATTCGTTTGGGTGAACCGTATAATATATGCGCACATGGAGCCGTGGACACACACTATGCTTACTGCCAAGACAACGTGGGATCACAACAACAGGGACACAAGGTGGTGATCAACTTCCAACCGCTTGCCATGGGGATGATCTTACGGTCAGGATTGTCTGTGTTAGTTGGTGTCGGACTAGTGACTGCCACGACTGCACAAAAGCACGATCATGGCGACTGATGACAGCCTGTCAGCCTGTGGTGGGCATTTTTGCTCAAATACGTTTCGTTGATAAGCCTCTACATAATGGGACCCAAAACACAAATGTCAGTAAACCGATCCTACTCACATTTATACTTGTTGGGGGATGTTAATTTTGTTATGGCCTATTTGGTACGGCTTCTGCGGTAACTTCTGTGGAGGAGTCAAAAGAACCGTACCAAATACTTTTGAGAAGGACCCGTTTTCTGGTGAAGAATAGAGTAGCCGGAGCTGAAAAAAATTGACTTTTCCTCGAGTGTTCTCCATGCTCAATAGGTCCTTATTTCATCGGATAGAAGAATATGTGAGGCCGTTCCTTCCCAAATTGGATGTTGGATACTCCTTTCATCTAAAAATATTGACTTTGAAGACAAACCAATTAGTTTATTTATGTAACTACTGAACATCATGTATTTTAAAATAGAGGGAGTGTAAGCCAAACTGATAATATATATTGCACTCTAGCTAGGAGACCAAATCATGGGAGTATTGGAAATAAATTGGGTCAACAGATGTGACCTAGCTCTAGCGAAAAATATCACGAAATTGGGAATTGTATGTGGTCTACACACATATGTTAACATGCTACGCATTTTCCTTGAAAGAAAGCGATCGGCATGATGTAGCAGTGGTACCAGTGGTATTTAATAAATTTATTAAACTCCCATTTAATTTTGAGGCTTACTGATTGATCACAACCCAAACTTGGCGTGCTTAACGGGAGTAGCAACTCAACGTCTTTCAGAGCTTGCTGTCTATCTAGGACTGATGCTGAAGAAGTAACTGATTTATTAGCTTAATTAGTACGTTTGTGGACCATCTTTGATGGGTATTTTTTTTTTTACATTCAAGTTTTTTCATACTCCGTATGGCTAGGTAAATAACGTAGAACCTCAGCTGAAAATAAACTGGTCCAACAAGCAACATGCGTGACCTGCTAGCGCGTACAGATAAAAAAAAACGGGTTATTTTTTCTGCATGCTGCACATGAAGTTTAGGTCCGATATCATTCTTCTCAAGAAGGAGTTAACGTCACAAGCCTCTTTGGACTGAACATATTATTATTGCTACTAGCGTAGTGCGTATCGTATATAAGTGGTTCATCACCAAAACAAAACTGCATCCCACTACGGATTATGTGGCAGCAAGGATGAAAACCGTACGGATATTTTCCGACCGTATTCGAGACCGAATCCGATTAGAGGGGTTGAGATCTGTCCGTATCCGAGTCCGGATATTCAACAACCGATACTATATCCGTATCCAAATATTCAAATCGCATATTTATGATGTCGATATCCAATTGTATCCTATCCGGCATAGTTGACACTATCCATATTCGAATCCGAATCCGGACAGAAATATGAAAACAAGTATAATATCAGTGATATCCGTCCGTATCCGATCCATTTTCATCCCTATGTGGCAGGCAGGCACCGCACTAATTAATCTCTGTACATGCAAGCAAGAGTGCACGACATGCATGCATCCGAGTCGTATTGGTCGGCCATTGGGGGTGAACGGAACCGTGGATTCGTCAAAAGGCGACCAACATCTTTGCGCCAGAAGCGGATCTTTCCAAACAAGGAGCTGCATGCACCACCTGCGATCCTGCATCATCTGCCTTCTGAACCTGAACCTGAACCTGCGGCAAGAACCGGATCCGAAGCAGTGGCACCGACCAATTGAAGCATTGTCTTTGTCTTCTTTTTTTTGAGGGAACTGGAAGTCTTGTCTGTAGCTTTTTTTTAAAGAAAAAAGTCTTGTCTGTAGGAGCTGCCACTAGTGGACGAACGGGGAGACGACAAAGCCCATCTTTTCCTGCCTGAATGGCTGAATCACAGCATCCACAGGCCGTGCCAGGCTCATGCTTGGCTGCTTGAGGCATGTGCCTGACTGGCCTTGGGCCATCTCTGGCCATCAATTACCCCCGCGAGATCCACCCCAACTGTGGCCCACGATCAAGTTGGGCTGCCACTGAAAAATTCTGTGCCAAGTACTCTGCTCACCCATTATTCACACATCTTCCCCAAACTGAATCCGGCGTCTCGCTCTTTAGGTGTGTGACAGAGTATTAGATATGCTAATGCCTCTGCATACTAGGGGATGTGAATGCAATGTATCGTGAATTCGCGATTGTGTGAGTCTTCAACGTTTTGATGAAAAAAAAAAGGATTCAGTTTTAAAACCCAAAATTTTTCCACGACCTAAAGACTTTGGAGGAGATAGTTTGGGGAAGAACAGATTCAGATAGAGGAAGAAGAGGACGAAGTCGATTTCGAGGATTTCTCATTCGTTAGTATCAACAGTTACAGACGGCGGTTATATGCTTCCCCGCTACAGCTAGCACCAGCAACCGTTCAACGGCCCACACGCCTACAGCCCAAGCATACACATATGGCTACATTGTCCTCTGTCCGAATAGCATGATGGTTCACATCATGTGCACCAGCATAGAGAATTCGAGAGATTATAAGGAGAGATGGGGGCTGCATCTTTGAGACATGTTTTGTGAGCTTGTCCAAGGTGAATATATCGATATCTGACTATTTATTTCCATCACCTGAAGGCCCTGCGCCATGCTTTATCCCATGTTGAGGAGCCATTTACAAATGGAACCTTGTGACTGAACCGGCTGCCCAAAGTGTCATCCAAGGTCATTAGGAGATGTCAATAGTTGGTAACTGACATAGTCATGGGTGAGGATGCAAACTTCTGCTTGAAGGTGGATTTTCCACTCTTCTTGTTCTCTTGGATGAGATTCTTGACGTTGACCCAAATTCTAAATGGTCTGGGCTGTTGTTCTTTCTGCATCACAATGTCAAGGATTTGAAACAAGATGGAGCTGTACAAATTCAGGATGAAAGAGTCATTGCTACAGAGGGTGTGATCATGAGAAACAAGCATAAATCTCTAGTTCATTTGTACTGCTACAGATGTATTGATGACAAACAGCAACAGAATAATGATGAAGAAAACGTCGCCAAGATAAACATTGTCTGTACTTCTGAGGAAAGTGCAAGTTCCTGTTAAGTGGCATAGCTGCAAAGCTTTTGTATTTCCCTAACACACTATCTCCAGTATATAGCTCGAATAAATCAAATTATATTCTTCACTGAAGATGTGTTATCAAATTTGACCTTTTTAGGATCCAAACTTTCGAAGGCGTCTCCTTACTGTACAAACTTGTGCAGTCCTAGAATAGTCGAATGTCAACTTAGATTCCTTGGTTTGCTTGCATTTGATTTTTTTTATGGAACGTATCTTTATTTGATATTTTGTAGAATTTTTCATTGTCTGATATAAATACTCCTTTTGTGAATAGTTTTGTTTGAGAAGTGAAGCTTGATTTATTTATTTTGGGGGGAAGAGAAGTGAAGCTTGATTTAGTCTAGGTTGGGTTAATTGTTTCTCTTTAAGATAAGTTGTTACGTACAACAGATAGACGATTGAGACTTCAGAGTGTGCTTCCCTTAAGATGGGCATCTTATAATATGATAATTTGACAAACATTGGATATAGGTAACTGATCTAGCAACTTCTTTTGCCAAAGTTGCAGATATTGATCGAAATCTTGGGAATGAAAGCACTGCAGTCAAAGGTATCAAGGAAGCAATTGAATGCCTTGGGAAGCTGAAGCTAAGTTCTGAACAAGCTAGTCCTGAGCAAAGGGTAAGTATTATTATCCCCATCATATCTCATCATCATTGCGCCTCTATGTGTTGTTGTGAACTAAGCGTTATCTGTATTTTGCAACGCCTCTCTGTTTTAGAGTTCCTGCACAACCAATTGGCAGATAAGTAAGGTTCAGTAGCATCCTAAATCATACCCAAAGAACACATGCGCCATGATTGGGTTGATGAACTTCAGTATTCATGTGATACACATACTGGCATACAGAGGGAATTGTTCGATGGTAATTAGAGGGTCTACCTACTTGAAGATTGTGGCAGCACAAAATACTTTCTCTGGCATTGTATAGTACATATATCCTCTGTTTGCTGGGCAAGGGAACTGATGGCTGCCAATATGCACAGCCATCCAACCCTCCAGATTGTTTTGAGAGTTCTGCCTTGACATGCAATGGTGCGATGCGTAAGAGAAACTTCTTGGAAGTTCTCTGTTGCTTACAAGTCATTTGTGAATGTAATCCCTTTGTAGTATATTGACAATAAGATGAGGGAATACTAATGCATGACTGCTGTCCTTACTAGATTCCCATTGTGTGAATATAACCCCCATTTCATATTGACAAATAAGAGGAGGGGATACTATTAAGAACGCATTAACGTTGTGTTTCATTAGATTCCCATGCATGTGAAGCTGTCTGCATATTAGTGGACAAGGAACCTAAAAGTTACAGAAACAATTCAAGTGTTATGACATTGGTATCTTTGTGACAAACAGGTATTGAGTTCTGTTGACTCTTGGAACTGAACGATTTTTGTGCTTACTGATGTTGTCTGTACATATTCAAGAACAAATTGTTTATTGTTGTGTGTGCACTCTTCTGGGCTTTTGATCCGATCTGATAAATGGAAGTGGACAGTAGTAGGAGTTCTGGAGATATCTCCAGTAGTAGGTAAACAATCCTAGCTTTTCTTAGCCCAGTAAATAATCCTAGCTACTAATGTATCATAACATCAAAAAAGGTTACGCCTGAAACAAACAAATTCCTTTTTTCCTGAAATAAAAAAGAGAAGAAAACAAGTAGCGGACATTCATATACAGTTTGATTCGTGCTGTTTTTTTAGTTTGATCAGGAAAATGCCACAGAAGTGCTTTTCCTGACTATATTCCTTTGCTTTATGGAAAGATGGATGTATCATACCTAATTAAAGCATTCTGTTCGTTCATCATGAAAGGGAAAAACAACTAAATAAAGAGACGTCCTTTTTTCCCTCTAAACCCGCCATGCATTGCTAATTAAGCCTGTCATTCTTGCAGATATACATATTTGTGAAGAATGTGTGTTTCTTTAATTAGCCAGTGTATATCTTCCCCCTCCCCTTTTTCCTGCTTTTTTATGCTTTTCCCACATCCTCTCCCCCCCTTTTCCTCTTTCTCCTCCAGGCACTTCTTTTGTAGCATTTGCTTGGCGTTTTTTAATTGCTTTGGTTTCTAATCATGAACACAGTCTTTTGTGTGGCTTTTGGACCAAATATAGGGAGGAGAGAGGGGGGGACAAAGGCGGCTTTTGACTGAAATTACTTCAGGTCCAGCAGTTTTGACCAAAAGATTTTACCGCCATGAATATGCATCTGTTGAAACGTTGTATCGCTACTTCGCTCTATATTTTCATTCATGGAAATATAATTTTATGTTTCTTCACTGAACATTGTATAAATATAAATAAAATGAGGATAAACAAAAAGAAAGAAGCAGAAGAACCATTGTCCATTGACGGCGCCGGTGACTAATTCTTCTTTTGCTTGTTGGTTTGTGGCGCAGCTGTCCAATTTGGCAATGACGAAAGATGCATGCATGGGACGGTAGTTGAAGCAATTGAGAGTGAAGAGAGATGTCTGATGCATCGAGTAGCCAGATCGATATGATGGCAGTCCTCCCTTTGGATCGAGAGTACACGTAGAGATCGAGAGAGAACAGACAAAAATCGATGGATCACGTACGCAGTTCCCGATGCATCCTGCTGCATGCATGCATGTGCATTCCTGTATCTGGTGGTCGTGGCAGACCAATGCAAGCTACTCTGCTAGGTTCCGCATGCACATTCATGTGTCACTCGATCGATGAACAGTGTTGCACGCGCGCATCCTACAACTACAAGTGGGCCACCAAAAATACGCGCATGCAGATGCATGTAGCACGCAGCTAGCGTAGATCGATGCTGAGGTCCACACGACACACAATGTCTACATGCATGCAAAAATCAAATGAAACAAAGCCGCATGTCACATACTGATATATGAATAAAGCCCTATTTGAAATTTTTTGTAAATTATTTCACCTGTAATTTGTTTCCACCCGCGATTTCTTGTGCACAAGAGGACAACCAGAACATCATTCCCATATAAATGATTGTTTGGGTGAATTATGAAGAACAATACTCCCTCCATCCAAATTATAAGTTATTTTAACTTTTTCAGAGAGTCAAAGCATCTCAAATTTGATCAAATTTATATAATAAAATAATAATATTTATGATACCAAATAAATATCATTAGATTTTTTATTAATTTTTTATAGTATACCTATTTGATGTTATAAATCTTTGTAATTCTCTTTACAATTTCAGTTAAACTTGAGATGCTTCGACTTACAATCCCATGACCATGAGCAGTCAAGCACCCAATTTCTCCCGGGCCGATGGACTGAAGAATGAGCATCTGGACATGACTTCTGTTTTTCGGTTGGAAAGGCATTATAGTATAATACTGTTGTAAAATTATAACCGTTACTGTCCATCCAAGCAGACATTTTAGATCTAGGTTGTAAAATTTTACAGACCAGTAATTTACATTGGTGTTAGTCTTAAAAACCATTCTTCCAAACAGCTAATAAGGAGTTTAAAGTAAATTCTTCACATGCCATTTCAAAACTCCTGAAGATCGTATTTGTCATCGATGTGTCTATGACATGTGGGCTCGATATTAATGGTAAATGTGGAATTTTAGGGATTTTGTACATATCCGTCACAACATTTAGTAGACCCAATGCAAACCGATCGGATTATTTTGAACTGTTGGATGACAACATTGCCTCTCTCCTCATCTTCAGCCTTGAGGATCCCAACTCACGTTCCCCACATCCAACACCATATTGCAACCTTCACTAAGCATTCATAATATATTATGGCCGGTGGTTTTCTCCAAACTATCAACAAACAACTTTGTTATGTAGGAAATCTAGAAAGATTACCTACCACCCTTGTCCCTAGAGAAAGGGAGTTGATATTTCACGTGCCTGAATTTGTAAACAACAATCTTAGACAAACGTACAATTAAAAAGACAACTCATAAGAGACAGTTCATATTTTTTTATTCAAACAACGATAAAATTACAGAACAAAAAAAATCAGGTACCTAAAATATAAGAGAAGTGCTGGAGAAAAGGCTTTTTTCACTAATATGACGAGTGCCCCCTTTTACATTCTAGAGGTGCAAGACTATTCTTTTTCATGTATATATGGATATGCTCATCCTGGCCTATCATAGTGAAGCCTAAAGTTTCAATATTTCCATGCAATGGTGTGTTCCATATATACATAGGAAAATAATTTAAGTAGGGTTAATTAGAACTTTGCCTTATAAAGTTGATGTTTCTAAGAAGCACCACTACTTCTCACCTAATATGGCCAGTGCCATTATAATTCATTTTAAAACTAAAAAAATGCCACTTTGTATGCTCGCGAGCTATTTAGACCAATATGTAGATGACCATATTTTAGTACGGAGCAAAATCACTTCAACACACATGGATCAAGGTGAATTCAAGTGCATCTAAACAAGCCATAAGTAATATACCAAGGGACTAGGTTTTACTATAATATTAAATCCTTATATGGGACATAATGGTACTCTATACGCTTCTTACCCAGCTGATCAAAACACAATAGAAATGTAATACACCAATGTGCTTGTAAAATGAACTTTTGATATGTGCATACATGGATTTTTGAATTTTTCTATACATGTGGCACCTTTTCCATAAATATCTAGCTAGTTTCAGAGGTTGAGTGCAAGATGGGGAGAAGAATATATATAAGTGCGTGTGCATGGCTTTACATCCACATGCAACTACAGGCGCGCGCGCGGGACGCACCACCAGCCAATTTGTCCTTCTTGCCCCCTAGCCTAAACACCTACTACGACGCTCACAATATTTTTAGAGAGTTGTATACGCTCGTAATATGACACTGATATCTCAATGACATGTGGGCCAGGGATCCTCATGTTGGCCTCCTATAGTCAGATACTCAGATACTGGCATACTACAACATATCATCATCATAACATGCACTTTATCAGTGTCATCGTGTTGGTTTTGTCCTTGATGCTATTTGCTAAGTGTTAATGTGTGTGCTAGTACTCCCTACATGATGGGAACATGTAATCACAGCAGTATAATACTACATGTGTGTGTAACCAAGACCAAGAGAAACATTCACTCCACCCACCTGACTACTAAAAAGGGATCACATCACTGGTAGTAGCAAGCAAGAGACCTGCGCCTACACGTTGCTCCCAAATTGCAGTTGCAGAGGACGGACATCTCGGCAAAGCCAGCAGCAAGCAAGCGCAGGATGCGAGCCGGCGGCTGCGCGGTGCAGCAGGCGCTGGCCGCGGAGGCGGCGGCCGTGGTGCGGCAGGCCGTGGCGCTGGCCCGGCGGCGCGGGCACGCGCAGGTGACCCCGCTCCACGTCGCCAGCGCCATGCTCTCGGCGGCGGGGCTCCTCCGCGCCGCCTGCCTCCGCTCCCACTCCCACCCGCTGCAGTGCAAGGCGCTCGAGCTCTGCTTCAACGTCGCGCTCAACCGCCTCCCCACCGCCGGCCCCGCCGCCGCCGCCGTCATGTTCCACCCCGTCCACCACGGCGGGCACGGGCAGCAGCACGCGCCCGTGCTGTCCAACGCGCTCGTCGCCGCGTTCAAGCGCGCGCAGGCGCACCAGCGCCGGGGCGCCGTGGAAGGAGGGCAGGGACAGGGACTGCCGCCGCAGCCGGTGCTCGCCGCCAAGGTCGACATGGAGCAGCTCATCATCTCCATCCTCGACGACCCCAGCGTGAGCCGCGTCATGCGCGAGGCCGGTTTCTCCAGCTCCCAGGTCAAGGCCAACGTCGAGAAGGCCGTCTCGTCGTCGTCGTCGCCGGAACATCAACCGAACACGACGATACCACCCACCAACGGCCACGCGACGGGCTCTCCTGCGGCAGGTTCCAGTCACGCAAGCAGGCGCCCCAACAAGTCCGACGACGACGCCATGCGCGTGCTCGACTGCATGGCGAGCGGGACCAAGCGGTGCGTGGTGGTCATCGGCGAGCGCGGCCACCGCGGAGGTGGTGGTGAAGGCGGTGATGGACAGGGTCAGCAAAGGGGAGCTGCAGCAGCGGCACGAGCGGCTCAAGAACGTCCAGTTCGTGCCCCTCTCGGCCGCGTCCTTCCAGCGGATGCTGAGGGAGGAGGTGGAGGCCAAGGCCGGCGACCTGCGCGCGCTCGTTCGCCAGGGCTGCGCCGCCGGGAAGGCGTCGTGCTCGTCCTCGAGGACCTCGCGTACGCCGCCGAGGCCTGGGCCACCGTGTCCGAGAGGAGAAGACGCGGCGGCAGTGGCCGTGAACACGGTCAGTGCGGCTACTGCCCCGTCGAGCACGCCGTCATGGAAGTGGGCAGCTTGGTGTCTGCCGCTGCCGGTGGCGCTGGCAGAGGCCTCGACAGGTTCTGCCTGCTGGGGTTCGGGAACAACCAGGCTTACATGAAGTCCA